CAGACGTGTGCTCTTCCGATCTATTACATACCTGTAGAATGCGTGACAGATGAGATCGACATGCATGACGGATCGACATCGTTCCACAAGTGTATATCACACCCTCGACCGATGGACGGCTTCTCCTGCACATCCTGATATTCCTGATAACTCCTTAAAGCCTCTTCAGGCTTCCCGTTCCTGGATATCCGACAGTCTCGCTATTCAGGGTCTCATTATAATAGAACAATTGATAGCAATTCATTACTTTATCACTGTCTTCCTCCAAAAGTGACACAACTCGAAAAATTAATTTTTTCTTTTGAAGATTAATGCGTTTATTCAATTTATTCAATAATTCTATCTGACTGGCAGAAATCATGTTTTTTTTTTATTTTGTCGCTTTTGAATCAAGAATACCATATACCAATTATATTGATAATTTTAAACTTATCCTGAAATATGTGTATCGTCAGCGTTATTAGTAAAGGGCTTAATTTGGAGACGTGGGATAAATGCGGATAATTCATTGTAATTAGAATTTCATTGTAATTATAATGCAAGTTCTGTTTTATTTATATTGTACATTATATATAACATATATGACAACGCACGGATATTAAAACGTAGTTTTAAAGTACATTATGCATAGTAATAGTTTCCCGAAGGTATAGTTAATAATTTTTTATATATCTTAATCTAAGAATCATTATTTCTGTCTCTATTAAAAATAAAAATCAAAATTAAGACATACAGTTCTTATCAAGAATAACGGAACGGGAAATATATTTACATCAAGATTATATTTTTAAAGATCTTAAAGATTTTATACCTAAGACAAAAGCTTCGAAATTAAAGGATCTTCTTTTATTTTATAATATTGCAATGTCGGTTATTATAACGGCCAGCTCAATTTAAGTTATAAAACTTGCGATTGTCGACCCACTCGAATTTCTTGCAATGGTTCTTACATTCCGTACCGTCTCCAGGTCTGAAATGTGTATGTTCTAATTAAGCTTACCTAGAATTTTTATATGTTAAGATATACTTAATACATTAAAAGTAATTCAAATAAATTCTATACGCTATATATCTTAATTCAAGAATCTTTAAAAAACGAGTTAAATGAACTTAAAGCTTACTTCTTTGAACTTGCGATACTTATAAGTAAGAATTAATTAAATAGATAATAAATGTTAATAAATGTAATGTGTCTCTTACTTACAATCTCCTGTCGGACACACACATTATAACGTCAATATCAGTTCTTGTCAATTCCTCATAAAACACCTGACACAAACAAGAACTACTATTCTAATTATTAACGTACATTTAGTACCGACGCGAGAATAAGAGAAAATAATTAATTATTACTAATAAATGATTGTTATTGTTAATAACAATTATTGTCCGTTAGGTGAAAATTTACGCGGTAGAAAATATCAAAGCCGGGACTGATTGATCGGATGATTGAATAACATTTCTCCGTACTTCTATGAATATTAATTTATATTACAATACGGTAGTATTCACTAACGTAGTCAACACTGTAGGACAGCGATATAATAAGTGCGAGATATACAAGGAGAGAATTTTCTTTTAAAATTTACCCTGAAAATCATGTTAATTGTGGGACAATATAGTATTTAGGCAAATTTTACTGTGCACTACAATAAATTTTACTGCGAAATCCTATTATAGTGCACAGTAAAATTTGCCTAAATACTATATTGTCTCATAATTAACATGATTTGCAGGGTAAATTAAAAAAAAAATTCTCTCCGTGTATGGGACGTTGCCGGGATTGAATTCAAAGGCGAACACGACCTGAATGACGTCTAATATCTGCATGGAAAAAAAAAATTTCGCTGCCATAGCTAATCAGGGTTGGTTAAAACTGTGTTTGCTGCCGTAACTATAAATTTATACACTATAGCAAAATAGTTTGCTGTAGCTTCTAATAGGTAAACAAAATAGCAAGACATGCATGTCTGTTAGGATCACATTGTATAGCGACATAAAAATAGTTATCAGAACTAACCGATATGTTCACGGAAAAGAGAAATTTCGCTACCATAGTTAATCATGATTTGCTAAAACTGT